CAAGGAGACCATTTCAGTTATTTCCTCCTATAAATTTAAAAAGAGATAAAAAAAGATAAAATATACTTTATTGATCACACACAGGGGAACTTTGCAAATAATATTACGATATATAAAATTTAAATTATAAATTATATGATTTCACTCAAAATGGATTAAATGACTGAATTAACAGAACACTTCCATCTTACTGATTATTCTGAGAGGATCAGACCTTGGGCTGTCTATCAACAGCTTTCCTCTAAACTCTTAAAAATGGGTTACTCTTTTTGATGGTTCATAGTCACAGACAGCTTCCTTGTCTTTTATAAAGTATATGTGGATTTTAGTGTATTTGTGAATTTTGTAAGTAATATCTTGTACACTGTCAAGTAAATATCATTTTGACTATGTTTTAGCCATGGCAGCAATATGGCTGACTTTTCCTCTAGGGCCACCATGAAGTTTAAATTTGTGTGTTTTTTTTGTGAAATATGTTCAACATTTATTAAAACTATTGGATAGATTTAATCAGATTTGATTTAAACATTCCTGTGCCTCTCAGGATGAGCTGTTATCACCTTGCAGATCCCTTACAAATTTTAAATTGGCCAATAGCTTCATTTGTGACTTAAAACTAATGACATTCCCATCAGACTCAGCTGTACTTTGTGTTTAGTGGTAATTAGCAAATGTTAGCATGCTCACTTGCAAAACTATGATGGCGAACATTATACGCGCTTAAAAGTAGCATGTTATCATTGTTAGTGTGCAAATGTTAGCACGCTGAGGTTAACAGCATGAGCAAAGGGTCATGACTCTCTTAAAGGTGCATATTGCCTGATGCCTCTATCTGATTGCCTCGATTTTACACCAGAAATATGTCAATGATATGAGCCAGCTGGGTGTAAAACACAACTGTGGGTGTTGATATCGTTCAGTATTAAGTCTAAAATGGTTGCAATTTGTGTGCATTCTCTCGGTGAACTGTTGCAGTGTTCCTAATAGCTGCAACATGCAAACAAGCAGCATAACTAAAGATAATTTTCATCACATGAACACAAAACATTTCATAGTCAAGGTTATTCAGCTGTGTGCAGTGAAGGGTGTGAGTGTATGCTGGTTGACTTTCCAACCAAAAACAACAGTAGGTGATTTCACTGATTAGTTCCTCCACTCTGGTTGAAGTTATGCTAATCACTGAAATTACTTGCAGGCATGCACTCTAGACCACTGAGCCAGCTCCTGCTGCCTCATCTCAGATGTTTTTTTGTTGTGAAATATAATTTAATTATCACATTATTATCTGTCTGTGCTATTAGCAGGTAGAAAAAACTGTAATCACAGAAGTCATACTTCCGCATTCCCCCACTGTGCTACAGTCTGGCAGTGATGGCATTAGTCGACATTTAACTGAGGATGCTCTGGATCTCCCTGGAGAAGCTCTATGCTCTGTTCCAGCTCAGATCTTCATACTGTGCACCAAATTGTAAAGAAACCCTTTTGTGTTTTGTAGTTTGGAAAACTAGTTAACTCTTCAAAAACAGCCAGACAGAAAAACCAATCAGCTTGTAATTTTACAAATCAGTAATTCATTCAAGAGCAAATCCTTATGTTCAGTGCTGGCTGATTTGGTGACACCTTGTTACTTGTGGTGATAGCAAATGTGGTTTAATACTACAGGTCCCATAATTCTTGGGGCAGTAAAACAAACTATTGTTGTTTCAATAAAGAAGTTGTGCAGTAATTGGTCTTTTTCCATCATTCAGTGAGCCACAGTGATCTGATTTTATGCTGCACACAGCAATAGTCTGCGAACAGCCAAAGTGAAAGTAGCTGGTTAGCTCACTGAGAAGTTGAAGGTGCTGTCACCTAAGGCTCTTCATCTAACAGCTCACTGTGTCTGCTCCTTCTTGTTCCATTACTCTCAGCAGTATTTCAAACTGATCCGCTGCCCAAAAATTACCGTTGTCTTGTTTTGTAGATGCGTTTTTGATGAACGATAGCGGTCAGCCCTAATCTCACTGACAAACACGTTGCATTTCTTGAGACTGCTTCATAATAAAAGTCGACTTGTGTTTCACCAGTTAAATGGTCAGTTTGCATTAGCAGCAACTCAAGATAGTATTTTTTACAAATGTCACCACAGACACCCAGTTCGTACTCGTGCACACATTAAATAAATATTGCAATGCTTTCATCAGTTGGCCATAGGCTCAATCACCATTGTTTTACCTCATTTGGCGATAGTGATGTTTATTTAAATGAAAATGTCCAAGATTTGCCACAATTCAACATCAAATCTACATGAAACATATAAACCATTGGACAACCCCTGAAGAAGCTGGGTGTGAGACCTAATTTTCTTATGAGATTAATACGTTTATTATCTCATGTAGAAATAAAGAATAACTTTACAAGATTTGCTCTGGAGCCAACCCTGAACTGATACAACAGATGGACCTGTAACTGTAAACCAGAGAGAAAGTCAGACAGTCAGTGAGCCAGTTAGACTAACCAGTCCATCACATACCCAACTGACCACCTAGCCCAACAAAAAAAAGCCCAAAAACTTGAAGACCTTGACAGCTGAAAGGCCTCAATGCCTATTTTAACTTCCACATACTGTCCGGACATATCTCTATTAGAGATTTTTTATCCTGTCCATAAAAAAGCGCCTTTATTTCTGGAAAACATCAGCCTCACCAGTAACAACATCATCTTTCAGTTAACCATCCAGCTAACCAGTAAACATGACAAACAACCAGTCAGTTTAGAATCCAACCCAACCAAACCCTAACCCTGCGCTTCGTCAGCCAGTCGACTGGTTGAACGTATGTTATTAAGGACCCTGACACTGTTTCCACCAATTACAGTGAAGCAGCCAGCCAGTCAGCCAGTGAACCAGTCAGACTGTTGAGTGTGTGCTCATGGAGCATGACAGTGTTTCCACACACCAATTACAGCGAGACAGTGGTACAGCTGTGTGGTGGCTTGGCACTCAGCCACACTATAAGTACCACTATCGATTGACAGAGAGTGCATGAGGAGAGCCGGTGAGGGAGAGAAAGAGAGAGACAGTCATGCTAAGTGAGGGAGGAAGATGCAGACTGAAAAAGAGGCAGACACACTGAAACTCCCAAACTCTTTCTCTCTCTCGCTGTTGGTGTAATGACGCATGCAGTCGCAGCAAAGCGTCGGTTTGTTTACTGCGTCTGTGTTCATATGCGTGTACACTCCAAAAACACAGAACCAAAGAACAGAGGAGACTAAGATGAGAAGTGACAGGCCTCCCTCATTCCTGCTCTTTATTTCTCTCTCTCCTGTCTCTTTTGATCCTGCTAATTATCGCAGTTTGACAGTGCAGGAGAGGAAGAAATACGGAGGGCGAGGGTAAGAGACAGGCAGAGGGAAACAGAGAGAAGGAAATCGTTTTTTGTAACAATAAAATAAGACAGAGAGAACAAGACACAAAAACACAGACACAGAGACACACACACACACACACACACACACACACACACACACACACACACACACACACATAGAGAGAGTCTAAAGCAGCTTATCTAGCCCATTCTATGTTAATGAGGATATGAAGTTATTAACTTAATGGAGCCTAGATGCTTTATTTTTCTCTAAAACGGATACCAAAAAAGTGGCACAATCACCCACAATTCCCTAACCCATCGCAACAGAAGTTGCCATGGTTGTAATACACTTAAGAATACATTAAACTTAATGTACTACTGAGTGTAACTGTATAGACCATCAATTGAATAATTGCTTTCATTTCAAAGCACTGTTTCTCTCACACACACACACACACACACACACACACACACACACACACAAAAGCCCAGAATTTAACTACTGCATATTTACATTTTCCACTCACACTACAGATTTTCTAATTAAAATTAAAACCTTAGAAAAACTAAAAAGAATTGTTCAACATGTTGGGAAATATTGTTTGCTTTTTCTTTGAGAGTAAGATGAGAATATCAATATCAATCTCTAAAATACTTGCTCATGATGAAGAACCCAATTATCACCTGATGCAGTTCGCGTTTTAGCATTTTTCAGCGCCTTGTTTTGGTTTTGCGGATCCCACCTTAAGTTAGCGACTAGCTGGTGAACCTTTCAGCAGAAACAGAGTCAGATATTTACCCGAGAAGCTGGTGGAGACCAAACAACAATGACAAGAACAGTGAATGTTGGGTTCTCATTTCTTTCCGGTCCATTCCGGTCTGCTGAATGTGTTAATAGGAAGCTGTTTGAACTTACCATAAAAACAGTAGAAAAAAATGTTTGATACATTGAGATGCAGTAATCGTTTTTATAATTTAATAATCACAGTAGACCTCTAAATCGGAATTGACTCATGAGTCTAGAGATCTAGTGTCTAGAGATTCCCACCCCTAGAAAGGCGATATAAAAGACACAACCCTACAAACTCTTTGGATGCTGTTTATCGCTCTTAGAAGAACCAAACTAGCTTTAGAAAGTTGAGGAATTCTTGAGAAGCCTGCTGTGTTTAGTTACAGTTTCTAAGCTTAGACAGTAACTGTTTTGGAGAGATTTAGCAAATGGTCACTATCATAGTGTACAGTACAAAATGCTCCAAGTGACACTATTTAAATCCAGTATCTTTCTCCTACTGATTTACTAAAGTTCTTCACCTCTGCTCACCAACCATCATTGTACAGAACCAGGCAAGCTATTTCTCCCTGCCAAGGCCAGGCTAAACACTCCAGCTACATACATACTACCACATACATTATGTAAATTTACATATTTATCAGAAAGAAAGCAAATATAGTCATAGTATTTTGAAAATGTTATATGAAGACAAAGGTCTGCTATATATTTGCAGTAGCATCCACTGTGAGCAACAGGTCGCTCCTATGAGTTAAAAGGCAGTTTAAACCCACCGGCGAGACGTCACAACCTACATGCAGGTATTTGATTTTAAAACTGAAGTGCATACTAGAAAGTACTTGTTTTACTAAAGTACTTACAGCCAGGAGTATCTGCAGCGAGGAGTGAGCCACCTCTATGAACTGAAAATCCATCAGACAGCCAGATATAGATATATATCGGTGGTCCTCAGGTGCCCAGGAGGGAGGAGGGGTGATGGGTGTCACCCTGCACCCTGGGCCGTTCTCCATCCACCAGGAGCGATGCATGGACAGGTTGAACGTCAGGACAAGGTCAGAGTCCTGGCAAGAAGGAGTCAGAGAGAGAGAGAGAGAGAAAGAAAGAGAGAGAAAGAGTTGAATTACATCCTCAGACATAAGGAAGATCAGGAACAAGGCAGCAGCAGGCTGAATGTCAGAGCAGGTTTCAACCACGTTTTAATCAAACCAAACTGTTTATCATATCGCAGTCTGGGAGACAGAGAGGAGAGGGTTTGGCTCAAGCTAAGAATAGATTTATAATTTATAATGATATGAGATCAGTCAGATCAGGTCTGAATCATACACAGGCAGGGTTATGATAAGGACAACGAGGGAGGGAGAGAGAAGAATGATGAGAGGAAGCCAGAGAGAAAATTTAAGTGTTTCTTCATGCACCAAAACCTCTTGTATGATGAGTTCAGACAATGTTGTGGTGTTGTGGGAGGGTCAGTAACTAAAATGTTCCTGTTTTCAGGTTTCTAGGCAAGAGTCGGTTATGATTTGTTCCCCTCATTTATTTCTCCTTAAGCAGGACAATCCCAACACTATGGGTGTAATTAAAAATTGAGAGGCACATTAATGTGAAAGTGGCGAAATTACTGAGGGGGTTTATAGCTACACTAGCAACGCGGCTCTCGAATAGCAATGTCAGTCTCCCACTTTGGTCCAGACTGAAATATCTCGACAAATACTGGATGGATTGTCATGAAATTTTGTAAAGACGTTGAAGGTCCACAGGAAATGAATTCTTCTGACTTTGGTGATCCCCTGATGCTATCACTACCATGAAGCCCCCATTTTTTGTTAAATGTGAAACTGTGGTTGATTGCCATGAAATTGGTACAAATACCAATGGTGCCCAGTGGATAAATACGAATGGCTTAATGACCTCTCATATAACACCACCAGTAGGTCAACATTTAAAACTATCATGTGAAATATCTCAACATCTACAACATGAATCAGCACAAAAGAAAATATATTATATATTATATATATATATATATATATATATATATATATATTTAATATATTTATGGTCCACAGAGGATGAATCCAAATGACTTTACTCCCCTGACTTTTCCTCTAGCACCATGATTGATTGATTGTTTGTTTCTTAAATGACCTAATATCTCTCAAACTAATGATATTCCCATCAGCCTCAGCTATACTTTGGGTTTAGCATATGTTAACATGCTTATTTACCAGACTAAGAGAGGACATGGTAAACAACAGAATGTTAACAATTTCATTATGACTATGTTAGCATGCTGACATTAGCATTTAGCTCAAAGCACTGCTGTGCCTCAGTAAAGCCTCTCAGAGCCGCTAACGTAGCTCTAGTCTCTTATCCTTGTTGTTCTACATATATGGAGACATTTTCTTCTCTTTATTTGCTCAGCTTGTCCACCACAGCTTGAGTAGTCCCATCACTGGCAGAGATAACTCAAAATTACAGCCAGAAGCTGCAAAGAATTGCACAACCGACAACAAGTAAGTAAATAAACAATTTCTGTCCCTCGTTGTTTCAGTTCCACTTCACAGCGAGAAAGACCACATAACATCGGCCCCTGCGGTAGCAATCTGTTTTGGCTGCTCTTCAATCCTTTTAATTCTAAAAGCCTGAAAGACCCACAATAAATCAGTTATGATAGTTGTCTTGGTTTAAATAATGCACATATTAACGACTCCACTTAGCAGGGAGAGACATATATCATTCCACAGACGGCCACACAAACACACTAATACACACGCTCACAAATACACACTTTACGCTTGCTCTTGCACTGCTTGGCCATTAGTCCAATGAAAAGTCTTAATACTCTTTAAAAACACACTGAAAGGAAAAATGACTTTCACCTCGTTTGCTAATCTTCTCTGAGGTGATACATCTTTTTTTTCCTTTCTTTTTAATTACTATCACACCTTTTATGGCTGTTTTTTAATGGATAGTAACAGCTGAAGAGAGACAGGAAAGGGGGGAGAGAGAAAGAGAGAGAGAGAGAGAGAGAGAGAGAGAGAGAGAGAGAGAGAGAGAGAGAGAGAGAGAAAGAGAGAGGGAGGATGACAAGCAGGAAAAGGGCCTCAAATCGGATTCAAACCCTGGGCCGCCGCAGCGAGGACTCAGCCTTGGTACATGGGGCGCCAGCTCTACCTGGCTATCCAGGCGTCCTGGTGATACATCTTTTAACCAAAATATCAATAGCAAAAAAAAGATAAAACTTTGATTTTCTTCCACCGTCTTTTTGGTCATAGAAAGTGTGTTGTCAGTGGTTATCTTGCTGGGTTTTGATGTGGTAAATTCACCATAAAATATAACAAATCTTAAAAGATGGAGTTAATATAGTCAGTTCATAGGAAAGCTCACAAATTTTCAACAGCAAACCATCAGGATTTAATGTGACGCATTCTGGTAAAGAACACAAATGGCAGATCTTTAAATAGAGCCAAAGAGATTCAGTTCTTATACAACCACACCTGGACCAACATGGTCTCTTTCTACTCTGTGTACTCTGCTTACATCCAACTTATCCTCCCTCCACATCCACACTTGACTCTGTCACCTCCTTCCATATTGCTCTCCCTCTTAATTTTTTTTTTCTGTTCTCCTCTCTATTAATTTATATAATTTATACCGTGGTCTCTCTTTCCTCTCTCACCCCCGTCCCCCTTTTCTCCCCTCTTTTCTTTTTCTTCCTTGGCCTCTCTCTATTTCAGTGTAATGAGTAAATGCCTCATTAGCGCGGAGCTCTGATTAATACCATCTCCCCTTGTTGTGCTCCTCTTTTTAATGAGTAAAATCTCTCTAAATTTCTCTCTTGCTCTCTCTCTGACATCACTCTCCCTCCATCTACCTCTTACTGTCGCCTTGCTCTGAATTGTTCTCCCTCTCTTTTAATATTTCTTTCCTTCCTTCACCTCTTTTCTCCCTTGCTCTTGTTTTTATGTTGATCACTGCTCTCTCTATCTGTTAAATGGGGTTGGGAGGGGGGGCAATAATTATTTCAGTACAGTCTCTATCAGTGCCTTTCTAATGAGCCTCTCGAACAAACACACACACAAAAACACAAAAGTAATTATCAGTAAAAATCGGAATTTGGCAAAATGTCATCAAAGCAAAGCAGGACACGCTGCTACTAATTCTGCAATATTCTCTGACTTTGTGAAGGTTGTGAAAAAGTACATAACAAATGTGTCCGCGCTCGACCAAGCTCTTATTGTGGCTCGTTAGTTGCGCTGAACACTTGTGGAATATAGGAACAAAATAAGCTGCAACTTCCTTAAACTTGACTCATTTATACTTTGTTTGTTTGGAACACAGAAAGCATTTTTAAAAGAATATATGATAATAATATATGAGCAACAAAAGGTTTAGGTGGAAGAAGTTTTGGTGTGTAGAAATTGTTAATCTTCAAATCTTACTATTTAGATTTAATGTCTACTTTAAAGGAACCATTTGACATTTTAAGGAAATAAGCTTATTTTTGTTTATGTTAGATGAGAAGACCGATACCACTCTCACATTTGCTTGTTAACTATGGAGCTGTAGCCATGAGGCGGCTAGCATAGCTTAGCATCAAGACTGGAAGCCATGGGAAACAGCTAGACTGGCTCTGTCCAAAGGTCACATCATGTGCCTACAGCACCTCTAAAGCTGACTAATTAGGTTAAATCTCCTTTATTCAATCTGTACATACACAAGAGTGTAAGAATGTGTTGTGGTTGAACAAAGGGGTTTTTTATGTGGTGCTAGACCATCTCTTGGAGGGATTAAACAAACAAGATATAACTGATTAATTAATGAGTTTGATGGGTTTTGGTAGGTGGAATTTATTTTTGATTTATTTTTATTTCCCCCTGCTTCCACTCTTTATGCTAAGCTGGCTAACTATTTCCTGGATGTGCTTCATAATGACAGTGGTATCTCTCTTCTAACTCTGCAAAAAAAGCGAATGCGCGCATTTCCCAATGTCAAACTATTGCTTTTAATTCCTTTGAACCTCTAGTGAAGCGATGTCAACGTGATGTCATGTTGTCGATATGGTTTCACTTAGCTACATCAATATGAATCATACCACATGTAACAACAAAAGAGACATGGAAAGGCACTTTTCTGTTTCCCTTTTCCATTCAGCTGTCTGATGATCCCATGTCTGTGCATGTCTTCATTGATGTTACAGGCTCTGTAATATAGCTTGGAAGCAGACTAGTACCAATAACAAAAAAAAATGGTATTATCTCCTTTCTATTCATCCAGCAGCAGTGAGCCGCCACAACAAGCCTCTACCACCACAGACGGAAGAAATCTAATATTAAAAATACATTCAAAATTAAGCCTATTCTTCCAAAGTAAGTAGGGTACCAGTGTACGGAGATAGTGCTTTTGTAATAAAAAAATTATCCAAATATGAACAGTTCCAGTGCTCACAACTGGCACAAAGGAGTTGAAGGCAAAACTCAAGTGATTCCATACTCACCAGAGGAATATAAAACAATTAAATTGCAGCTGTGTACTGGCATTGATGTATTGATTTTATAAGGTGGGATTTATTTAGCATTGCAGCATTTAACTCACCAGGATGATGAAGCCATAGCTCGAAAATAATCTTGAGATATTAATCTGTCTGGTGATGAATGGGCTGTTTGGCTTGCAACCTCAAACAGAAAATATTGGCTGTATTAGTATATCTCACTGTGTGTGTGTTCTGACTGTTGGTCTCCAGTCTTGCCACATCTATCCTCCACATATTTCCTCCTCTCTCTCTGTGTCTCTCACCTCTCTCTCCTGATACCCCCCTTTCCCTCTCTCTGTGTGTCTCTCTCTCCCTCACACACACATAAACACATACAGTCTATAATTTCCACTGTGCTAGTTGAGGATCATGCACTCATGCTCTCAGGTCTTTGTCTCTGACTGTGGGCTAGTGCCGCTTCAATGAACCACATCTGTTTTTCCTCTGCCTTTCTCTCCACGTCTTCCTCTTCGACCTGCTCTCTCTCTATTTCTCTCTCTTTCTCTCTCTCTCTCTCTCTCTCTCTCT